CTCAAACCTTCCGAAATTTCGGTCAACGACAATCCATCTTTGGTAGGATAAACTTGAGCAGGATTATGAGAGGTGGCTATACGTGCAGGGACCATGTATGCGGAAGGAGAATTATATTGACGTTCCGATAAGATGCAGAGAAGTTCATTAGACTCTTGTTTTCTCACGTTATAAAATCGATTGGAATGTTTGATGGCATGCTAAAGCTAGTGTTTTGGCAAAAAGTTTGCATACGGTAGAGCCAATTGCAATAAATCTAATAAAAGTTTTGACATGACTGCTAAATTTTTTTAAAAAAAAAAAAAAAATTAAAAAAATTAAAATTTTAAAAAAGTTTGTAGGCAAATTTGCCTGCAATACAAATTAAAAAATAAGATTTTAAATAAAATTTTGCTTTTAATTAAAAGCAAAAAAGTTTTTTTATAATTGTTTATATATAAAAATTTAAAATTTTTAAAAAAATTTTTATAAAAAAAGTTTAGAATTGGCAATATTCAAAGATAATATTTTTAAGATTTTTATATTTTATTGTATATATATTGTAACACACCTTCTAAGATCTGGTGTAATGTGAAATTAAAACAAAAAATTAATTCGTTAGTTTAAGATTAAGGTGAAGATTAGGTTAGAGTTAGGGGTATTTACTAATTTTTTTCCACAGTTGTGATTGGCTAAAATTATTTCTACAAATTTATATATTATCTTCTAAACAAAATATGATATCTTAGTTAGGGTTTAAGATTAGTAATATTATACTAAAATTTGCAAGGAATTTTTTTGTTAGTGTATAAAAAGTGATTTTTTAGGCGAAGTTTTATGATAAGTATAACTTCTTAAAAAAAAGCATTTGTTATTTTAATTGTCATATTATATCTAATCTTGTATTCTAATTGGCTCGATATTACAATTGTAAGAAAAAATTAGTAAATACAAGTTAGAAGGTTAGGGTTGAGCACTTTAGCAAAAAGATTCTAATCCAAAATTTTGCTTTGTTAGAATACAAAAGGTAGTTTTATAAGTAAGGTTTTAAGCTACAAGTATTTTTTTAAAAATATCGTTATTTATTCGATTTTGTATTACACCTGATTCTACGATCTGATTGGTTGATCAGATGAGTGTATTATAGTGCATATACACTAAATTACCATATATTTCTAAAAATAAACTACTTCGAAAATAAGCTACCTCTTACTTTTGAGCAAAAAATATAAAATTTTCTCTTATTAAAAAATAAGCTATTGCAACCTTTGTTTCTTGTTAGATCCTTTGTATTTGTCTTTTGTCTTTGCCTTTTGCTTTCATTAAATTCAAGGTATATCAAGGCTTTTGTTAGCTATTAGTTTCATATAGTTTTCAGGGCGCAACAATATCTTAGCAAAAGCATTTTTTACTTATTTTAAACGACACTTTTAGGGTTGCAATCTTTGTTTCTTGTTAGATCCTTTGCCTTCGTCCTTTGTCTTCGTCCTTTGTCTTCATTAAATTCAAGGTATGTCAAGGCTTTTGTTAGCTGTTAGTTTCAAATAGTTTTCAAAACACAACAATATAACTTATTTTAAGTGGTTCTTTTGTTATTAAAAGATACCAACTAGGACTTTTCTTTCTTTATATTTCAACGCATGGAAAAAGAGAAGCAAGTAATTTTTAATGGATTTAAGAAAAACTTTCCTGGTTCTATGGATTATGAGCTAGAAAGTTTTTTCTTGGCGTTTTTGGTTCCGAGTTTGGAACTGTTTTTGGTGCTAGTAGCTTCAAGTTGCTGTCTGGTTCAGTAACTTTGAATTTCATGATGTCTGGTCCTGTGAATTCTGAATTATATGGTTCTGTAGATGTTGAATTGCTATATAGTTCTATAAATTCCAAATTATGTAGTTCTATGGGTGTTAAATTGCCGTCTGGTCTTGTAAATCCAGAGTATAATAGCATTTTTCCTGGTCTTATGAATTCTGAGTTATGTGGTTCTGTGGATGTTGAATTGTCAGCTGAACTTGTGCCTCGCTCTGTAGATGTTGAATTGCTACCTGATCTTGTATCTAGTTCTGTAAATGTTGAATTGCCACCTTGTCTTGTGAATCCGGAGTATGATAGTAGTTCTGAGGATTTTGAGCTGTCTGGTTTTAAGAACTTTGAGATAAATAGTAATTTGTCTGGCTCTGTAAATTTTGGGTTGTCGGGTCTTGAGAATTTCAAAATGGACAATAATTTGCCTGGTCTTGTGAGTTCTGGGTCTGTTAGTAATTTACTTGGTTTTATGAGTTCTGAGCTCTCTGGTAATTTGCCTGGTTCTGAGGGTTCTGGGCTTGATAGTAGTGTAACTGCTGACGTCAATCAAATGATTCAATATAATACAACTGAATTAAAATTACAAATAGGAGATCCCTTTAATAATTGGAACACTATACAAAGTGTGGTTGATGCTTATTCAAAGCAACATGGTTTTGTGGCTATTAAGTGTTGTAAAAGGACCCCGGACATCTTCAATATAGGTCATAACTGATCTGCATGAATTTTGGGGTTTTTCCTACCCTTAAAATCAAATAAATTTGCTAAAAATTCAATTGTTACATATAAATTGTATAGTAATTTGCTAAAAATTAAATTATCACATCTATTTTTAATAAATATAAAATTAAATATACCGGCATAATGTAT